CCATCTGTTACTAATCTAATAGAACAATTTTGTTTACATATTTTCCTTTGTTAAACATGACCTTTATCTTACATATTGAGTTTTCTAACCATGTCTTTGGTGTGAGTTTGCATTGAGAGATATTGTTTTTCCTCAATCTATTATTGGGTCTCTTCTATCTTCTTGTTTTCATTTATAATTTGGTCATTGTTGTTGGTGTGTTTTGAAGGTGATTGTGGAGAAAGCAGAGAGAAGTGATATCCCTAATATTGACAAGAAAAAGTAAGATTTTTGTTCCTTTTATTTTTGTATGAATCACTATATCAAATTTGAACTTTTATATGGTATTCTGATGGTATTACATGATAATTCGTTGCACTAATTATTTCTGGTTTGTCTTTATCTTACCAAAGCAACTATCTGTTGGTATAATAGTACTGATGCAGTGATGCATGGGTACTTACTCATTTATGGGGTTATCTATATCTTTCATTTTGATAGGGTTTGGAGAATTAATAGGAGATATAGTGTGATGAATCCAGAAATCTTAGGGAGGGGTGCTTAAGTTTTGGCATGCAAAACAAAGACTCTGCCGACTGCTTTGACCTGAATATTTTTATTTTTTATATTTAGTTATCATTAGTATTACTACCTCCGTTTCATATCATTTGCAACGATTAGACATTTTTCCTCTCTACTTTACGTCAAATTGTTGCAAATAATATGAGACAGAGGTAGTATTATTTATTGAAGTAATCCTGTTAGAATCATATCAGAAAAATACCCTTTTGTCTAAATCCAATAATGTGAAAGTTTTCAGACCTTTCAGCACTAAATGCCTTCAATCCCTTTTTCTTTTCTGAAAAGGCATTAAACTTACTGCAATGTAAAGAAAAAAATGGGAAGATTGTCTTCTAATGTTGGGGAATGCTCATCTTTTGTTTAGCTGGCAATAAAAATAAATATAAAAAAATAAAAAATAAGTGATGAAGAAAGAAAGAAAAAATTCTGGAGCTAAGTTATGGACAGGTACAAGAAACATAAACAAAGTCATGGATTGTATCTTTTCTTGCTTTCTTGTGTTGAATTATCTAACTTGAGAGTCCTACTTGTTAGCCTGTATATTGAACATTGATCTGGCAATGCCTCCTCCTTTACTTGATGGTCTGCTGAGCTGTCACCTTCCTGAAACATGTGCATTTTTGTCTTAATGTTGCTTTGGATAATCAATGTCATTAATGGGGTACAGAGAACAATGGGTCTACAATCTTCATGCAGCTACATAATCTCCACGAGATTAATCAAAATGTATAATTTTAGCATTTCACGTTATTAGAAATGCTCTGTATTTAGCCTGTAAGTTCTCAGGACCTTATAAGATGAAACCTTTGAAAGAGTGACTTGGATGCAATGACAATATTGCCAATCTTTAAATTTAGAATTGAGGTCATTCATTTTACTTATTCCTCCATTAAGTACTTGCTTACTTGCTTGGATTCTCAAGTATAGAAGCTCATGGAATTTAGCAAACAGCATAAGCATAGAAGTTCGTGTAGTACTTGCTTGAAGCTCATCTTATGCTATGCTTCTATGCTTAAGCCGTTTTCTAGATTCCATGTTTTGTTTTTTTTTTGCAATGACAGGGTATAAAAGGCTTAGATTCTGTCAAAGGTCTGTAGTGCCCTTAACCTAATGTCAAGATCAAGAGGAGTTCCTTAGCAGTAAAATTGGCTCTGGAATTTTTTTACTAGTGCATAATCAAGTTACTTTTCAAGGAGATATGAATAATACGATCTTTTGCATGATTGTTGTATTGTGAATTCTAGTGTTAGAAGAACCTTGATTTAAATAGCAATTTAGAGCTATTCAACACTATCACAAACAGTGAAACTTTTGATAATAGTACAATTTGTCTAATGTCAACCAAGCAGCAGTTGTTTTCTTTGCTGGTCTGGGGTTAAGCTGGTTACACCTGCTCCTCCTCAGTGCATGCAGAAGAAAACTAGCTGCTACGAAGGGTGAAACCTACTGTAAGGACTTTTTTTAGGTGGTTAGCTGTTGCTATAGTTTAATATGAAGTATGATATGATTTTGTGTTAGACTGAATATGTTAAGACTTAAAGAGTAGCTGAATTATCTTTATAGTTTATACCAGGATTCATCTGATGGACATAGTTGGTAACTCACAATATTGCAGATACCTAGTCCCAGCTGATTTGACCGTAGGACAGTTTGTTTATGTGATCCGCAAAAGGATCAAGCTAAGTGCAGAGAAAGCAATCTTCATCTTCGTGGATAATGTCCTCCCACCTACTGGTAATATTTGTGCTACTTTTCTCACTCTCTCTTGCGCTTTTGATGCTTTGGTTTCCTAATTAATATGGAGTGTTGATGAATCTCTCCCACTTTGTTTTCTGCAGGAGCAATCATGTCTGCAATATATGAGGAGAAGAAAGATGATGACGGGTTCCTGTATGTTACTTACAGTGGCGAGAACACATTTGGTTTTCTTGCTATGGAGTAATGTGATGTAACTTGATGGATTCTCCCAAACATAAATAATTGAATAGTTGTCATTTTGGTTTCATAGCTATTGTGAGTTGCTGTTTCTACACTCAAAAAGGAGTAAACATTGTGTAAATGCTGTAAATAATTTGATCCTATGATGTTTTAATGGTAAAATTTACTGCTTTTAAGACTTGTTAAAGGTAATGAGATTCTCACTCCTCGCTATACGAATGCAATCTGATTGTAAATACTACGTATCATGTTCATGTGGAGGGAACGTGAGCTACTGCCACTTAGCATGTTGCGTGTGGACAATGAAAATGGGCCTACTTTGTTTGTTTGTTTTGTGTTCCCAATTTCTACCAAGGAAGCAATTTGGTGGTTTTGACTACATACCCTGTCTCTATCGCCCATTCTCTGGGCTCTTTTGTCTCTAGCTGCTTCAATTTTCATTTTTACTACTCCTTCCGTCTCTAAAAAGAGTTATACTCACATAAATCGGCTATTTTAAAATTAGGGGCATAAACAACAAATACACTGTAGATATGGTCTCAGGCATGTCTTAAACACAAATAATCAGTATACAATCCAAAGGCCTATATCTCGATATTGAACAGTTTTATGAATTAGACCGTACCATAAGATACAGTATATGTTTTTATTAAGATGACATATCCTAATTAGTGGTAATGATTTCAAGGACATATGCAAGTAGGTGGACCAATGAGAAAAATGCATGTAACAGTAGTCTCGTTGGGAGGAAGTAGCTTAAAATGATGCAATCTACGTTAACAAATGGGGATCTCCGATGGCACACTCATGAGGACACAGCCACTCGTACTGCACTGACATAACTACTTAAATTAGCATTAGCATTAGCATTAGCATGCTAATCAACAGTAATTAAGACTTACTAGATATTGGTGCGAAGACTAGCTACCCATATTACTACTATTATTGGACGTAAGACATTAATTTCCAAATAAATACATTTTAAGGGACCAAAATTCTACCATTCCAACTTTTTACAAATTAAGCAGGCTAGCTCAGTAAATTAGGCAAGAAAATAAGCTTAAATTAAGAAAAATTCAAGATTTTGTAGCATCCAATTAAATTGGGGTGAAACACAAGACATAGTAATCCTAGAACCAGGACATGGACTGGTGGGTAACAAATGAGCAAACCGCCCCTTATTCTCTGTTTCTGTTTCTAATTTTCTATCTATCCAATTTAGTGAATTTACCAACACCACCATACTTTTTAAATAATATATTTTCGTATGTACGTAGTAATGACTTGTAATTACTGATTTACTTCCATAATATAATATAGAGACATGTATGCTATATAATGCATGATTTAAATGTATTTCAATTCTTTCACAAGAGTGTGTAAGTAATAATTGTATAATGTACTTGGTTACAAGGTGTTGAAACTATGTGACTATTGTTTCCTGGTAGAGAGACTTGCTAGTGTGCATGTTTAGGATGCCCAACAGAATACAAGTAGTAGTTGTTATAAGTCAATATTGGCTGTTTGACGGGGTAGGTAGCTTAGATATTTGACGATGGTAGTGCTTCTAAATTTGGAATCAAAGGTCGGATCTTCAAATCTTCACAAGCTAATGTTTTCCTAGGATAATAGAGAATGTTGAGATTCAAAGGAAATTTTGTCCAGTGCACATACAACTCTAGTTAAGGAAATTAGTACAATACCATTATATATTAGATATTCTCCCTCTTCTTCATTGATTTGGAATAACTCACATATAGATTCTTTGTAACAGCCTATAATCTGCAAGAGGCTATAGTAAAGGAAATTAACACCTTTTTCAGCTACTCTCTTCGTGTTTTAATAAGTGTTACACTGTGACTTTTTTCACTATTCACATAATGGGTTTGACTTGATTAATTTACTAATACTACCTCCAACCTCCGTTTCATATTATGTGCAACATTTACTAAAAATAGATGCTACACTTTATTTGCAACAAGTCAAAAAAAAATGTTTCTTTCCTTTTATTGGTTGTCATTTCTCTTTATCTCTCTCTTCATCACATGTTTTTTTATATGTCTCTCCCCATTTACCACTCACATACAAATTTTGTATAGGAGTCCGTGTCGATGTTTTTGTTGCACATAACATGTAACGGAGGTAGTATATTAAATAAAAATGTTATTGTATAATTCATTATTGGATTCGTTATAACGTATACTTTCATAATACCAATTTTTCTATAATTTTATTAACACATGATTAGATAAATTAATGATCAAAATCATGTCTCGGCATGCGTGTTTGATCAAATTTTAACACTTATTAAAATATGAAGGGAGTACTTTAATGACCATATATATTAGTCGCATTATATTACATTTTAGGATGTCCCAAAAAATTATCACCTTTATCTTTCAAACAAAAGCTAAGAAGGGCCAAAACTACAAGTATAATAAGTAAAATATGTGGGTGAATTGAAATTATAGCTAGTAGACAATAAACAAATAAGACAATGTGGTGACAATTAATTTAGGATGAGAAGTAATTTTCTAATCTTAGTATATAGTAAATATCATAGAGGAATAGAATACTAGTAGTTGATTGATTATTGTACGTTTAGTACTCCGTATCATTGATTACCAAGAAGCTATGTAGGTATGTTAAGTAGATTGCTCAATTGACATGTAAAGGGAAGTGAGAAATAGGAGTAGTACTCCTAGTAGAAGTGGTGGGGCTAATATGTAAGCCCCACAAGAGTAAAAAGTGTTAGGGAGAAAGGGGGACAAGTGTAGTCCTTCTAAAGATAAATTGAATTGCCAATATCAAGGTTCATCATCACCCAAACACCTCCATGTTCTCGCAATTAAGGACCTCCTCTTCCTTAGCTTCTCTTTTTTTTCTTTTCTTTTCTTTATTTTTTTTTTTCTAATTACAAAAACTTCATTTTATAGCCCTCTATATATATGTTCGTGTTAAAATGTCTCTTAGTACACTACTACTCCCTTTCTATTCTAAACAACAATAACTCAAGGAAAAAAAAAACCCTAGCTTTAATTCCCTCATTTAAATACTAGCTAGCTTTTCACCTTTTTTTTTTGCCCTAATAATACGCATTAATATATATATACTCACACTTTTTTTTAGATAATCATCTTATCATGTCTTCGGTTGCGCTTAAGTTTTTGGCTGCCTTGTTATTACTACAAATGCATGCATGCAATGCAAGGCACACCTTTGATCTTGTTTCCTATACAAAGGTATATGAATAATTTAACCTCTGTATTTCTATTTGAACTTAATTAATGATAATAATAGATGCTGATGTGATCTTGTATATATACATGATGTGGATATATTTGAAGGTGGTGGATACTGGTGAGAAAACAAAGCTAGTACATGATGAAATTGATCTCAAAGGATCTCCTATATTTGAGGATATCATGTATACATCTTCAGGTACATAAATTTGTCCCATTATTTAACTGTGGTGACAAAAATAACCAAAACCAATATAATCTAGGTAGCTATGTTATAGTATAGCCACAGCCCCAGTTAATAATAAGTTGTAAGCAAGGACATTTATATGATCATGCGCATGCGACCCTTAGCTTCGTAGATGCCGTAGCCCGTAGGCGTGGCAAGGATAATGGAATTGCCTATTATATACGTACACAACCTTATCTTAGTAATAATAAAGACCGTATATCCAATGAATTAACTATAACATGCAGTTTTATTGATATAATCAGCTTCATTCGTTTTCGTTAATTAATAATTTTGTCTTTGCAGATGACATATCAATTGCTACGTTGGAAAATAACTCATGGCCGTCAAAAGATATGCAGGTGGATAGCTACATACCTTACAATAGAATTTATGATTAGAAGGGGATGGAACTAGTTATTGAGAACATTACTAACAATCACACATTATTATGTTGGCAGGGATTCAAAGTGAAGGTAAGATCAATGCTAGAATCGAAGTCACATGATGAGACCAAACAACCGACTAGTAGTGATGCAAATGAAGGTGAATCAGTGGAGGATGCCGTGGTCATGGATTATGTTCATCCCCATCGCAAGTCTCCGATTCACAACCATCATTAGCTATAGAATACGTACTGTCCTTAATTATATGATCAATCTAAGCTAGCTCCTAAAACGATGTTTATTATTTCCCTTCTTTTGAGTCTGTTTTTCAGACATGTAACAACATGATTAAACCTATGATATTAAGTATGCAGTGGATCCACAGGACCACAGTTTTTTTTGTTTGTATCCTTGAACAACGATATGTATGATCGATGTGTGAATATATATATATATATAAATTGTGGACAAGGAATTATATTAATGAAGTTAAACGTGAAAGATCAAGTGGAGGGACAAGTATGGTGCTTGGTTCCTCTTTATTACAATACACCGAGGGAGAGTCGGCAGGTTTCTGTTATTTAACTGCTATTTCAGTTATGCTCAACTACCAATCTCCCGCCATGTAACTGTAACAGATCAGATGACAAATTATTCCAAGGATTATTAGAATCAACATGCTATATCTTGATGATTTTCACTCATCAATGGACCATGCATACGTCTCCCTATTGCATTGTTAAGTGTAAATAGATTCATAAGAAAAGGGATAATTTAGAAATGTTTCAACTCCTAATCAAGCTATCGGACTCTACATTGTGCACATGCCGGGTGAAAAATATAATGCTATGATTCAACTCCTAATATAATGCTTGCACTATCATCTTTAAATGGCCAAAAGTGAGATATACCAAATCTCTATCATATGGATATTTGTCTCGGGATATAATCTTATGTGAGGCCCGGGTCGATATCAATGTTGTAACATACATCTCCTCTTTAATGTGCCTGCCGATACTTGTGCCAATATGCATTTATTTCTTTTACAAGTCCATGTGTTTTACCTTTTACGCACAAAATCAATTCACATTTTTTTTTTAATTTGTTTGGAGATTCAAATATTGGTGCGGAAACAGATATGGAAATATGAGGAGTACAAATCTATAAGATAAAGAGTTGCAAAAAAAAAAAACAAAGTTGTAAGCTTGCAACAAAATCAATATACCAGGTTGTAGCAACGCCAGCCTAGATTATTAGTGACAACAACCAATCTATACCACAATACATGCATTATTGTTATTACTGGCTATCTAGCAAAGTAGCAATGCTAGTGTATAAGCACTTCATTGATTTTGTTGTATTAAGATAGTGTACGCTTTTGTTAGTTGTATTTAAATTCGTATATGTTTCAATTTTTTTAGGCCAAAGATAAGGGCTCTTATTAGACTCACACACTCGAGGTTTCTTTGTCTAGTATTTATGGATTAGACAGTTTGAAAGGTAAATAAATCTCCATCCCCAAACACCCAAATCTATCTCTAATAAGACCTAAAGTTAGCGTTACTAAGTGAGCCAAGACTGTTTGGGCATATAGTGGTAGGCTTTTCATTTGTTTCTTCAGTATTAGTTGAAGTGAATTTGTCTCCAATGAGTTCTCCTTTTTCTCTTGGGCATATGGTGTATCACTTCATTCTACTAGTGCTCCTCAATTTTTAAACCCTTAAAATATAATCATTCCACGGTTCCACCCAATTCATATACTAATGCTAATTAGTGTTAAAAATTGTATTGGAACTCGTAGCTAACATTTATATGTCGGCATTTAAACAAACAGATACTCCGAGAAAACAAAGAAATAAATGTCCCAATAATTAGAAATAAAATAAAATAAACACTAAGGAAACTAAGATATGAATGAAGGAGTGGTGTACATTTTATCTGACCTCAGTTTCTGTAACTCATGATGACAAATGTGGCAAAGTCTCAAGCCATTAAAAAAGTCAAGTATGCAGGGCTAGCTTTGTACAGAGTAGCAAATATTGAAAACATTAATCTATATGAATCATACAAGTTCAAAAGAGATGGCGACCCTAACCCAGTAACCCATATGAGAACCGACTTACCGAGTACGGCAAGAAGAAAAACGTTTGGGACAAATCCTGTAACCGGCCATCTTTGACTATTAAAAATCATGTAAGCTATAGGAGACATAATGGGTCATTGATCCGCTTACAAAGTTAGTCGGGAGACATCTTGGTCCATTCAACTGGAGCCCTCTCAACAAAATTGTCCTGATCCATGACTCATGACTCAATCGATAATAATCCAAGGAACCTGTACTTTCTCATGCAGTGCATATAGCTTGTTGAATGGTATACAATTTTAAAATCAAATAATGAGATGGAAATTGCTCTGGTAAAATAATAGTAGCACTGAATCAATGATTTTTCGATTGATCTTGAACAATCAAGCAGCGCTGCAGCTGAAAATAAATGGCTTCACAAATTGAATGAATTCGGATGTACGGATCCCCATCTTTAAGTAGATCTCCCCTCCTCCCAACCAGAAGAAGTCAGGCGAAAGCTTCACAATTGCTTCATCCAATATAACCTGGGAACAGACAGACCCAAGGAAAACATTTTTGAACCGACTATGTTTCAAACAAAATCATCAAACAACACACATACATTGATACATGTAAACCAAGAATAACAAAGTAGCTAAAATGAAAATTTTCAAGGATCAATTCTTGCTCAAGTATAATGCTAATGCACTTCGCTGAATAGTTTGGTGGTGCAACTCTGACCCTTAAAAGAAGAGATCACCTCTTACACACTAGAAAAGTGACACTTCTTAGGCAGAAGCATGGCCTTCACTAGTAGGTTCACAGCATTTTGTCTCAGGACATGACTTTTATGTATTACAGGCCTATTACGATTTTATACTGAAAAGAAAAGATCTTTCATTAGGTCCGGTCCGGTTCTTTTCTTTACTTTTGCTAATTTATTTCAGTTCAGTTATTTTCAGTAAATCGGAATAAACCCTTAGTTACTTGCTAAAAATTCATATGAAGTACTACGTATAAGAATACTATTCTGATGCAAATTACGTCAACGTATTACTATTGACTTTGTATGATCTGTAAGTAATTTATACAATTCACAAGCAAAAACAATCACTGAATGTTACCAACTTAGTTACTTGCTAAAAATTAATATGAAGTACTACGTATAAGAATACTATTCTGATGCAAATTACGTCAAGGTATTACTATTGACTTTGTATGATCTGTAAGTAATTTATACAATTCACAAGCAAAAACAATCACTGAATGTTACCAACTTCTAACTAAAAAATTACTGCGCATGCACAGCTTGCACAATACTCTAGAGATAATCTAATCATCAAGTGATCTACTCCATATCACATAGACAACAGGAGTCTTATGCTATTCAGGAACTCAAAGATTAAAAGAAGTCCAGCTTCCTAGGACTCGAGGCTTGACATTCCAACATAGAAGATACTTGAAGAGTTGTTGGAGACTTTTAAAGCTACAGTTTTATATCAGTAGTCAGTAATATGCAAAATTGTAACAGTTTTAAAGCTAACCTTTGAGCTTCACAGCAACTAAAAGTTTTTGTAATTATAGAGTTTACAATAGTTGACTAGTAGTAAAGCACTTGCTACATAGTTTAAACTTGTATCTATATAAAACTAGCACACTGGCAATATCCGACTAGCTGAACAAAGTTCAGTTTCAGAAACAAGCTACTTTACATAAAAATAGAATTAATTTGAAAGAGCCTAGAAAGCTTACTAGAATTACAGCAATCTGTGTTCAGCAAAACTAACCATCAAATAAAACAGCTAACCTCACAGAATACATAAATGGATTAAAAAAACATAAAACTTTTAAAAGCCAACTACTCCAAAAGGATGGCAAGCCGGAAAGCTTCAATTACTAGTTGCCGAACATTAAAAAAAAAAACATTAAACCAAATAGTAACAGAATTAGAACTCTTTATAGTGTAAACACTCAAAACTCCAGCCTAGACCCTAACATTCAACCTCAATAAGGATTGAGGAATCACAAGTGGTGAGGTCATTGGACAGTTTGATGGATTGATTGCAAGGCAAAAGATAGGGCCCAAAACAGGAGAGCAGAATTCGATAGATTGCCCAGACAAAAGATGGTCATGGGCTAGTGTGTTGCAGGTACAAGCAGCAGGAGAAAGCCAACCACATGTGAAGGATAAAAAAAGAGACCACGAATCTGATCTCTATAAATGCCACATACCGAAAATTTGGAATGATAAAGATTGTTTAATATGCTTATACACAATCCCTAACACACAGGGATATGGATTTGAAGGGAACATTCAATAATTCATAGACAATGACACATTACACAACCAGGTATAATGTAATAAATCTTCATTTCACAATAAGTATGTGCTTATAGTTGTGTATAGCATTTGATTACCGGTATGTCAGTCTTCATGCCAATGCATGTAACAGCATTATGTTCAAATCCAGTTAAGTTGTTTGATATTTCCTCTGGAGCAAGCCTCACTGACCAGGAAGGAAAAAAAAAAACCAGGTTTTTTATCACTGAAAGTTAGAAAGGAGCAGCGAAAGCTGAGACAAAAAAATAAACTCAGTAGCTGTAACAAGAAGACAATCCTGAAGAAGAATCTAATTTATTTTCAGATACAAAGACAGAAAGAAGTTAGGCATAGAGTCTGCAAGAGGAGGCTGGGAAAAAATCAGGATGGGAGTTCATTGTTGCTGATGCAATTAACAAGCTATGCACTTGATGAATTATACAGTATTTATTTAATTAAAACTATCTAATGCCAATGTCTAACAGATGCAACACAAAGGGACTAAAAAGGTAAGATTCAGCAATCAATTAATCATTACCACCCTTATTACCCCATTTGTGGAACTTGGGGTGAGTAAGTTAAGATACCTAAGCCAATAGCCATATTTATACAAAAACGAATACAACTTTTGTTAAAACACAGTGAGATAAAAAATGAGAAGAAGAAGAGGAGAGTTCTGACAATTGAATTTCTTTTTAGGAACTTTGCCCTGGTTGAGAGTGTACAGGTAGTTTTTGACAGTTTCAGCATTGAATCTTGCAGTGTACTGCATTAGAAAACCAGCAACATTAAATTTAACAGTTAAAACAAGACATTGGCATAGTAAGTTAACAAGTGAAGAAAACAAGAAAAGAGCACCTGTACAACCACCACATAGTACTTAGAATTATACCGGTTGCTACAATCAATAACGTCAGACCGGGCTTGAGTATTCACCTGAACAAATAATTTCATAATTCCAGATTAAATAAACAAAAATATCCATTACAATCATGAATCGTTCCATTTAAAATAAATCGAGTGAAATACCAAAACAATGCTTTTACAAAGATGATGAATGGATGGCGCAGATAAGAGATCTCGTCTAGCTTCAAGAGAGCGCTCGTAGTAATCGGAAGGGACAACCTTGAATTTGAAATCGTTGACACCATTGGACCGCAATATGCCGGAAAGACGCACTGCAGTGGCGTCATTGGCGGCGTCATCGGATGAAGAAGACGAAAGTTGGAGCTCAAGCTTTGCTATTCTTTCCAGGATTCGTCTTTGAATTCTTTCTAATTTCTCCATCTCCTTCTCCCTCTCCACTCCCATTCCTTCTTCTGCTAATCCCAAATTGGACCCAATGGCCAACGTGTAACCATTCAGCTTTTTTGGGCCTCACTTTTTTTTTTTTTTTTTTTTTTTTAATTCTCGGGCCTCAAAATTATTTCACAATCACCACCTCAATATGTCCCATAATTCTTGTAATCTTATTTTGGAGAGTCAAAATTATTTTGTTTTTATTTTTGGATAATATGTAAAAATTATTATACACTCACTTTTTAGCTTTATTCATTCGACTTTCTGCATTACCTTTAAATTTTGTATCTGCTTTATACTTTTCTTCACTTTTTCTCTCTAAGTTTTGTCTATAATTGTATTTGTCAGTTTTGTCACTTTTATCAATGTACTTCATCCACTTTCTCCTCCTATCTTTAAATATCGTGAGAAAACACTAACAGAAATTATACTTAGTATTATGGGACGGAGGGAGTGTTAAAATAACAAATGCTAATATTATCCTATCCTACTGTAAATTAGACCCATATCATGTGATAAGACTTTTCTGTTCAAAACTATAAATACGGAATATATTGGTCAGCTATATTATTATTAGGATCAATTTCAAAAAAAAAAAAAATGTTAATCTTCATGTGTAAGTTTTCCAATTCATAAGAGCAAATCCAATGTTTTTAGCTAGAGATTTGCTTGCAATTTCATTAATTCCCTAATTACTAGTTTGACCATTGGAGCTAGAAAACTCAATTAGCTTGGTTAAGCATATTAACTTTGCCAAGCTAATTTGCTTGGGAATTAAACTTGCCAAAATAAAATGCTCATTACACCAATTAAGCTCTTTCCATGTATTTTTCTGGTTAAGGTCTATCGCATAGCTCTTATATACAAACATTGCATATAGGATGACAATGTAGTAATAAAGTTGAAGTTGTAGTGAGAGTATAAAGTACCAATTAATAGTAAAATAGTATCATTAAATGTTGTTGTAGTATAAATATTATGATAATAGTACAAGTAAGTAAGTAAATGGTACATCAAAATATTATACTACTGTGAGATATAATAGTACTACTAAGACATAAATAGTACAATAAACATATATAATAATACAAAAAATGTACCATTGTAATCATAAAAAGTATCATTCTGAATGCGTTTTTTCCACTTTTGCCCTTCTCTATGCAACAAATGCATATAGGAACTATGCGACAAGAAGCACTCGTATTTTCTATCCAACAACAACTACTACTAAGCTAATAGCTTGTCATTGGAGCAAAAAGTAGCTAAAATGATAATTAGATTTAAAGCTTATGTGGCATGGCAAGCTAATTGGAGTTGTCCTAAGCTTTGAGGTTTATTATTTCCCTCTTTCTTTATATTTTTCATACCCAGTTTATATATAAATTGAAATGTCAAGTGTCATTATTTTGTGGCCTTGCTACAAGTAGAGCTGTCAAAAGTTGACTCGATCCGAAATACCGACTCAAACCCGATTATTAACCGAACCATCTGAACCCGAAAAAATGGTGACCCAAGCCGCCTGACCCGACCTGAAACCAACCTAGACTCGAGTTGACCCGAGTATGTGAGGCCCGAACCCAAACATGAACTGACTTGGAGATGACCTGACCCAAATGTAACCCATAAAGTATTGACCTGAACCGAACCCGAATTGAACCGAAATTTACCCAAACCCGTTTTAACCCGTCAAAACCCGAATTCAACCCGACTTGTTACTAACATAACCTGAGTTCAACCCGACCCTTTCCTAACCCGACCTGTTACAAACCCAACCCGAAATCAACCCGACTTGTGATTAACCTGACCCAAATTCAACCCGACTAGTTATTGACCCGACCCGAATTTTACCAGACCTATTACTAACCCGACAAAAAAAATCAACCCGATCTGTTACTAACCCGAATCGAAATCAACACGACTTGTTATTGACCCGACCTAACACTACTAGAAAACTGCTGTTTTCCGATGAAATTCCATCGGAAAACGTGTTTCCGACGGAAACTGTCTTCGGAAAACCTCTTGTAGGAAAATCAACCTTTCCGTCGGAAGAAAGTTTCTGGCCCGGAAAAATCCGTCGTAAATCTCCGACGGAATAATAGTTCGTCGTACCTTTCCGACGGAATTTCCGTGGGATATTGTTTGAGCCAAAATAAAAAAATAAAAAAAAACACACGCCGCACCACCTTTGGCACTATGTGTCACCACCCTATTTCAAGAAGACAACCACCGCCACTACCAGCCCCTAACCCTAACCCGAACCACACCACCACCGCCACTACCTCCCTCTCACTCAGCCACAACCAGCCACCGACACCACCAGTCCACCACTCACCCCAAACTAACCCTAAGCCCAGATCTAAACTATCCCCCACCCTTAAAAAATACAAACACAATGAAAAAAACAATGAAAATTGATTGATTTAAGTCCACCACTCACCCCAAACTAACCCTAAGCCCAGATCTAAACTATCCCCCACCCTTAAAAAATACAAACACAATGAAAAAAACAATGAAAATTGATTGATTTAATGCTCTGCAACTAGATTAGCGCTAGTCTTTTATGTATGAGTTTAGAAATATTAATTTGAGATTCGAGAGATGAGAATTAATATTTAGGCTTAGTTTCAATGGGTGGAATTAATTTATAAATGGTTAACTCAAGATTCGAGAGATGCGATTTAATACCGATAGATTAATTATGTGATTATAATACGTAGCGAGAGCCCTTTGAGATCTGGTTAATTGATGCATTGATGATTGATTATTATGTTTTACTCTGGAATATTATTTATTGGTGAACCTATGCCCTAGTTCTTTTATTCATTTATTTCATCCTACTTTTATTTCTCCCTACTTTTATTCTCCGTAGCATAATTCCTTTAAATAACAACAATTTGGTTACTTAATAATTTAGATTATAATAATTTATTAGAAATAAAAGAACGTTGTTTCCCCATGGATTCGACTCTACTTCCCTATCTATTCTAGTTAGTGGTTTTAGGAATTACTTTTAATTAGGTGATACGACTTTAGCCTGTCAACAACATATAATGATCATATATGGTTCCAAACAACATTATATGACCCCGAGATGTATCTCCTAAAATTTCAAGGCCTTTTGACACCGGGCCCTGAAACCTCCAAAATTTCTCAAAAACCGTGGATATTAGCCTTTAATTTTGGATTTTTTTTTTACTTTTTTTCGCCTGGAAATAAAATTGCCTAAATGTTTACCATGGTCCCTAATATCCTCCGGGAGTCCAATTGGGTGGGTGTAACCTTCCAATTTGCCTTTAAACGACCAATTTACCGGTTTACAACTTGCACTGATTTCATTAAATCAAGTCTACCCTGAACATTTATGACAACATATAATGATCATATATGGTTCCAAACGACATTATATGACCTCGAGATGTATCCCCTAAAATTTTAAGGCTTTTCGACACCTGGTCTCGAAACCTCCAAAATTTCTGAAAACGCGTGGATCTTAGCCTTCAATTTTGGAATTTTTTGACTTTTTTTTTCACCCGTAAATAAAAATTTCCGAAATATTTACCATGGTCCCTAATACCCTCCAATAATCCAATTGGGTGGGTGGAACCATCCAATTTGCCTTTAAACGACCAATTTACCGTTTTACAACTTGCACCGATTTCATTAACTCAAGCCTACCATGAACATTTATGACAACAAATAATTATCATATATGGTTCCAAACGACATTATATGACCCCGAGATGTATTCCCTAAAATCTCAAGTCTTTTCGACACTGGGTCCCGAAACCTCCAAAATTTCTCAAAAATCGTGGATATTAGCCTTCAATTTTGGAATTTTTTGACTTATTTTCGCCCAGAAATAAAAATTGCCGAAATGTATACCATGGTCCCTGTAGACACCCATTTGTGTCTCCCCAAAACCAAACTCAGTGATGAGTACTTTTCACGTCGAATCATAATCGAATGAAGTGAAAGTATGGAAAGTTTAGTGTTGCGGATAGTTTTAATTTCTTTTCTCATCTCTCTTTTTTTAAAAACCTATTTTAAGAAAACAGCCAATCCATTTTTGTTGGTCCATGATATGGGTCCAAGAATAGTGTAGTTGGATGGGGCTTGAAAAGAGCTTTCCAACGATATATTATAAGCCCAATTCCGATGAATATTGAAGAAGTTATGGCCAAATTACTGAATTGGGTCGGGTTTGAGCCTTATATGCGGGCCAATGATCTAAGGGAGGGCCTAATATAGATTTATCATTCCTAATGCAATTAAGAATGGTTTTAGTATTCTAGAAGGTTCTTTTCATTCCTAATTCAATTAGCATTGATAAATTGACTTTTGTTGACTTTTTAGAGTTTTAATCAGAATCAAAGAACGTTTTTTGAGGAAAATACGATTTTATCCTCCTGTACGGCAATTTCTATCTGATTTTAAGAAAACGCGTGGATTTCTGAGTCAGCGCCAAACGCCAGCTGTAGCACCTGACGCTACGCTTGGCGCCTGGCGCTAAGGTCAGCGTTTAGCGCTAACTTGGTTTTTTGCGTCAGAACTCTGTTTTTGATGTTTTATCTTTTGGCTGATTTTCTCTATTAATAATGTGCTAAAAACTCTGTTTTCATTCACCAACTCTCATCAAGATTTTCTTGATTACTCTCTCTCTCTTTTTCTAAACTAGCCTTCTCTCAAATATAAAAATTACACATTCATTAGATTTAGATACACCTAGCCATATTCGAAGTTGCCTTCTCCCTAAACGTGAAAGGTTTAATTTCTGAGGGTTTGGTCCCAAATCTCTATTTCCATTATTTAATTTAATTGTTTATTATTATTTTCCTTGAAGTTACTAACGTGTGTATTTTGTTATTAGAAAGAGGTACGAGGCATCAAAGTAAGTATTTTAATGGTTTTTATTGATGTTATGATATAGAGTTCATGCTTAGGTTGTTATTATGATTCCTAGTATCATGTCTAGGGTAAGTTTAATACTAAGTACGATTGTTATGATGCCTTTTATTTTCTTTCCTAATATTTATGTTAGTATCATGTTAGGGTTGAATATATGATCTTTATTGTTTAGTGATATGCTAGGGTTTGTTATTAATTTTGTTAGTATCATGCCTAGGATCTTGCTATTATTATTATGCTTTAACATGATTCATGATTATTTTAGTTATTATGATTGTTATTATAACTATTGTTATAATTATTGTGATTATTATTATATTGCTTGATTATATTTATTGTTATTGCTTGATCACGCCTTTTATGCATGTTTAAAGGGAATTTGTTCTTGTAATCACGCTTAATAAGATAATTAATAATCTTTTTTAGGGTTAATTTTATTATAATTCAAGTGATCGCCAATAATAGATTTATTTGTGCATTAATATTCAACCAACATAGATAAACAGGTTTAGGGTTAATCCTATTGATTGTATGTTAGTCAGAAAGCGCACATGAATACGATCAGAATAAAGTAGAGGCCTATTATTAGGGCAGGTTCAATCTCTTTTAGGTTGGATTTGACGATCTCCTGGATCGTTAAGGGGTGTAACCTTCACCTCGTGAACGGTTTACAAGTTCCTAAAACTTGTTGGCGACTCTTTTGCTCTAGCTTCCTTCCCTTTGGACGCCACCGTACTTTAGTGTATGATCACAGTGGGGTTCAAGCTAGGGGTTAACGTTTGAAATATTCCCTACAGTCCCTAATACCCTCCGGGAGTCCAATTGGGTGGGTTGAACTATCCAATTTTCCTTCAAACGACCGATTTACCGGTTTACAACTTGCACTGATTTTATTAAGTCAAGCCTACTACGAACATTTATGACAACATATAATTGATTAAAAATGGTTCCAAACGGCATTATATGACCCATAGATGTATCCCCTAAAATTTTAATACTTTTCGACACCAGGTTCCGAAACCTCCAAAATTTCGCAAAATGTGTGGATTTAATTTTGGAATTTTTTGACTTTTTTTTCGCCCCGAAAAAAAATTGCTAAAATATTGTTTTAAATGTTACACTTTCCGTTTACGGTCGTGTTTTTTTAATTGTTACACTTCCTTTTTTGGCAAAAAGCTATATTTAAATATTATATCTCTCTTTTATCTCATGGTCCCCGCCCAAACTCACTACTACTTTTTTATTATATCTTTACTCTCACATTCGTTACTTTTCAATAAACTATTACTATCTTTCTTATACAATATTTTTAATGCTCCAACTACCCCACTTACCTTTTATTTTATTTAAGTCAATTAAATTGCCTACAACTATGTGTCTGTCAAACCATAACACTTAAAAAAACACGTTGGGAATAAGTCTTTTCGACACCGGGCCCTGAAACTTACAAAATTTCTCAAAAAACGTGGTATTAGCATTCAATTTTGGAATTTTTTAACTTTTTTTCGATCAGAAAAAAAATGCCGAAATGTTTACCATGGTCCCTAATACGCTCCGGGAGTCCAATTGGATGGGTGGAACAATCCAATTTGCCTTTAAACGACCAATTTATCGGTTTACAACTTGCACCGATTCATTAACTCAAGCCTACCACGAACATCTATGACAACATATAATTACCATATATGATTCCAAACGACATTTTATGACCCCCAGATGTATTCCCTAAAATCTTAAGACTTTGCGACATCGGGCCCCGAAACATCCAAAATTTCTCAAAAGCGTGGACATTAGCCTTCAATTTTTGAAATTTTTCACTTTTTTTTCGCCTGGAATAAAAATTGTCGAAATGTTTATTATGGTCCCTAATAATACCCTTCGGGAGTCCAATTGGGTGGGTGGAACCATCCAATTTTCCTTTAAACGACCAATTTACCGGTTTACAACGGTTAATTTAATTAACTTGCACCGAACCTGACTTGAACCGAAAATTGACCCAAACCCGTTTTAATCCGTCAAAACCTGAATTTAACCCGACTTGGTACTAACTTGACCTGAATTCAACCCGACCTGTTCCTAACCCGACACGAATTTAACCCAACCTGTTACAAACCCGACTCGAAATCAACCCGACTTGTTATTGACCTAACCCAAATTAAACTTGACTTGTTATTGACCTTACTCGAATTTTACCAGACCTATTACTTACCCGACCCAAAAATTCAACCCGATCTGTTACTAACTTGACTCGAAATTAACACGACTTGTTATTGACCCGGCCTAAATTCAACCCAAATTATTCCTGACCCGATTTCAAATCACCTTAAATGCAATTTAGACCACATTATTATTGTTGATCTAAGAATTTTGTCTAGGGTTACCAAGCCGGTCCAGGTCAGTTTAAGAAAGAAGCGTCATCCTCAAATTTAAGAGTTAAATATAGTATATATTTGTTGTATGGTCAAAGGAGATAATTATCTTCCTAAATTATAGACTATAGTTCCCTAGTATATTTCCATATTTATTATAGTCAAAGGAAATACCCGACTTGAATCTGAGAATGATCCGACTTGGAAATGACCCAACCTGATTATAACCCGCAAATTATTGACTTGAACCGAACCCGACTTGAAATTGACCCGACCTGATTATAACCCGCAAATTATTGACTTGAACCAAACTCGACCCAAACCTGAGAATAACCTGACCTGATTCTAACCCGAAAATTATTGACTTGAACCGAACCCGATTCGAAACTGAGAATAACCCAAACCCGTTTTAACCCGTAAAAACCCGAATTAAACCCGACCTATTGTTCACCCGATCGAATGTAACCTGACCTGTTATTAACCCGACCTAAACCCAAACTAAACCCGGTAAGAAGTATGACCCGACGTGACCAGACTAAAGCATGACCTAACCCAAACCCGACCCGCACAAGTTATGGAATTAATCCGAATTGACCCAACCCGAGTTGACCTGACCCACTCTTACTCGACCAAAACCCGACCCGTTTACCCGAATTGACAGCTCAAGCTACAAGAACCAACTTTATTTATTAGTATATACTTTCACTGTTCTTTTTTACTTGACATGTTTCTTTTACAACGCTTGTCAATGCAAAACTTCAACGATCAATAACTTTAATTCTCCACAAGTAAAAATTATAAAAGTTATATATTATGATACTACCTTTGTTTTATAGTTTTTTGCAATTTTAAGGTATTATTTGTGAGATATAAAATATTTTAAAGTTTCAAAAAAAATAAGACGGAGGTAGTAGTACTTATCGAGACGAATTTAAAAAGATCGCACGTGAATATATTTTTCCTTATATGTCATTCATAAAATATGGTCAAAGGAGGGTTGATGAACAGTGTAAAAGTAAAAAAGAATAGAGTTAGGGTCTGTTCTCATTGACTGAACTCAACTGAATTGAATTGAGCTGAACTGAACTGAATATTTTATAAGAGAAAAAAATTAGGAGCTGAACTGAATTGAAAATAAAAGTATGAGAACATACCCTTAGTATAAAATATAATTATTTGATTTGTGATTTAATTTTTGCAATAGTAGACTTGTATTATTTTATAATTTTAAGAGCATATGAATGCATGTGATGAAGTACTTATAACAACCACTTATAACAACCAGCTTACCTTGTGGACTAGTGGTAAGAGAATGAAACCTCTGAAGTCTAGGTCCAGGGTTCAAGCATTGGTACCACCTCTCTTTCTCTCTTCTCTCTTAAAAGTACTTTGTATAACAAAATACTTCATAAGACTTCTCATATTGAAAAGTAGGAAAAAAAAAACAAAATAATTGCTTATCGGAACGGAACGGGAAACCGTTAATTTTAAAATGATACCCAAAAACCATACCCGATAACAAATTATCGGAACGGGTACCCGAACCATTATGGTTATCGGATCGGGTACCCTAATTTTCGAAACGGTAACGAAACGGGTTTTCGGTTTTTCGGGTAATTTTGCTCAGCCCTAAGTTTTATAGCTGAATAAGGAAATAAAAGCCGATTAAATTTAACTTGCATCATTTGAACCACTCAACAACTAGTTTTGCTGTGTCGGGCAATGGCACATGGTTTAGAACTTTAGATGCATTAATTATCCTTTACAATGTTTAAACATTCAAATGTTTAGTACGGCATATTAAGAAAACATTCAACTATCTCTTACATTATTTTATAGATCGAGTTTGACCTTTTGAATTACAGTGTCAAAATGTTTCCTACAAGTTTTCCAGAATGAAATAATGAACAAGTACTCCACGGAATTATATTATATGCCTTATAAAACATTGCTAGTGTTTAAACTATTGGCGGGTTTGTCTACAAAGTTTAACTGGTTTATTATTTACAAATATATAGTTGTTTTTTTTTTGGGTGTAGATATTAAGGGATTGTTTTGTTCGGCTTAATTTCAGTTCAGTTCACATTAGCTCTAATTAGTACAATTTAGTTTGATTCCGTTCCTAATTTTCTCTCTTATAAACAATTCATTTTAATAGTTCAATTCAGTTCTTCTTCAGTAAATCGAAACAAGCCCTAACTACTATAGTATGCGAGTGTGATTTAATGTTTAACTCCGTGTAGGATTTTTGTTGCTGCGTTTGTTAAGTACAATTGAAAAATGTTCTGAGAACAAATTTGAAGGCTACAATATACAAAATTAAACTATTTTCAAAGATTTTGACATTTTGAGATTTGGCGTCAATAACTTTCTAAATGGTAAAGAATGTATCCTGAAACCATATAGTGTTATTCGAAACCATATACACTCTCTAATTGGTCACATAAATGCGGATGACAACCCAAAGTTAAAGAAGTGAGTCTAAACTCTAAAGGCAAAGTAGATGATAATTTGATAGACAAATCAAAGGTGAAAATAGACTCCAAAATTAAATTGAATAATGTTTAGACAACTCTTGTTCCAGAAAGCAGAAGTTGGTTGAATAAAAGTTGATTTGTTTGGTAGCAGGCAAGCGCGTCGTGTTTAGTACGATATTGTGTTAATACCAAATAGCTTTTTGAAAGTTGACCATTCCCAAGTATAGGAATCCAAAACCCTCCCTGACTTTTAAAAACAAAACAGTAGTTATCCTTTACCTAATACGTGTAGCATAACTCTACCACTGTTATGGTCTTCATAGATCTCCCCTCCTGTTGTGATCTTGATTCCTGAATAACTGTATAAATATCCTCCCCTGTGGAAGCCAGATAATATCAAATCAAATACAGCAAAGTAGAAATGGCAATGCACAAAAACCCATCATCCACATCAATGTCGGGTCTAGACATAGCAGGATCCTTCTTTGCTCCGATCCAACAAGCCGCCCCACCATCCCCAACCAAACGCCACATTAAGATATCCATCGTCGGCGCCGGCAACGTCGGTATGGCCATTGCTCAAACCCTTCTCACTCAAGACTTAGCCGATGAGCTCGCCCTCGTCGACGCCCTCCCTGACAAGCTCCGCGGTGAGATGTTGGACCTCCAACACGCCGCCGCCTTCCTCCCTCGTACTAAGATCGTCGCTTCCACTGATTATTCCGTCACCACCGCTTCTGATCTCTGTATTGTCACTGCTGGAGCTCGCCAGATTTCTGGGGAGTCTCGTCTTAATCTTCTTCAGAGGAATGTTTCATTGTTTAAGAAGATTATTCCTCCTTTGGTTCAATATTCTCCTGATGCTATTTTGATGATTGTTTCTAATCCTGTTGATGTCTTGACTTATATTGCCTGGAAGTTATCCGGTTTCCCTTCTAATCGGGTTATCGGCTCTGGTACTAATCTTGATTCCTCCAGGTTTCGCTTTTTGATCGCTGATCATCTTGATGTCAATGCCCAGGATGTCCAGGTACTCTTCATTTTCACCATTTCTTATTGTCATTTCACTTCTACAATTAGGGAGTATTCATTTTATCTAATTACTCATGCCAAAGTTTAGCTTCAAAATTCTATCCTTTAGATCTCATCTTATTTTTTAGGTTTAATTTTAAATTTTATGAACATGATTAGAACAACTTTTTCCAACTTTAATCCATATTTTATTCCTGATATTAGTTACAGAGTACGAGTATAAAATATTACTTCATACTCCATATATTAGTGAAGAGTTAGCTGCCTCAACCCAATTAGCAAATACTTATAGCACACTTGACATTAATTAATTTGGTCGTTGAAACACTTATCTAATGAAAGGTACGGCTATCTTGTTCTCAGTCCTATGCCTGCAATTGTACTTATGTTTATGGGCCAAAAAAATTGGATATGAGGCCCACTTATAAAGACACCTATAAGGCTTAAACTGTCACACTCTGTCCTTGTGCTAAGGAAACCAAAGGCAATGATAGGATACTCTCAGTTTCACTCTAGTAGTGTATGATAATATGCAATGTGTATATTATGTTATGTATTCTCTATGAATATGATCTGATCTCACATGTTTAATTACTAATTTGATTGTGAAACCAGGCATACATAATAGGAGAACACGGGGACAGCTCGGTGGCACTATGGTCAAGTATAAGCGTAGGAGGGGTTCCTATCTTAAGTTTCTTAGAAAAGCGCCAGATTGCCTACGAGAAAGAAACCTTAGTCAAAATACACAAGGAAGTCATCAACTGCGCCTACGAGGTTATTCAGCTCAAGGGCTACACCTCTTGGGCTGTTGGTTACTCTGTTGCTAACTTGGCTTGGTCCATTCTACGTGATCAACGTAGGATTCATCCTGTTTCGGTGCTTGCCAAAGGTTTCCATGACATCGATGATGGTGAGGTGTTCCTTAGCTTGCCTGCTCAGCTTGGGAGAGGTGGTGTGCTTGGGGTTATAAACGTGCCTATCAGTGATGAGGAAGCTGACCATCTTAGGAGGAGTGCTAAGACTATTCTGGAGGTGCAGGAACAGCTTGGCGTTTAGTTTATTAGTTAATTAAACACTCTTTCCCACAATAATGTATTCAACAATATCAATTAGCTTAGCTTACTTAAATTATAATCAGCTTCTTTTTCTTTGACAATCAACTGTATTAAATGTTTTGCTTTACCAGTTTTTTTTTTTTTTTTTTCATTTCCCCAACCCGCCTACTGTTACACTATCTCCAATAGAATTAAAATATATTTTGTCATTTGTCTCTGTTCCTAAATCCTAATGCGTCATAAATTCTTTAGCAGTTTTATTGTGCCTATTGTATGATTAGAAAGCAAATACTACCTCTGATAATGTCATGATAAGTTTATACTAAAATTCAGAAAAATAAAATCCCAGAGATTAACTAGAGGCTCCGGCTCCCTCATAAAAACCCATTATTAAGGGAAAATTGAAAAGAATAATCACACTTCTGACACATCTTCTCAAAATAATCTCAACCTTTGCGTATATCAGAAATAATTCCACCTTTGTACCCCACATTCTCAAAATGGTCTTTTTTTTCATTTATTGACCGGTTGATTGAATTTGGTAACCTATTTTAAAGGGTAATTTGACACGTGTCACATTTTAATTGGGTTATATATATAATTTTTAAAAAATTAAAGAATAAACAAAAAAAAAATAAAATTAACCCTTCTTCTTCTTACCACTGCCAAAGTAAATTTTAGAATTTTTTTTCTCAAGCAGCCAAGCTAATTGTATTTTTTAGCTTTAATGGTCAACCTAATAGCTAGAGACTTTTAAAAATTGCAAGCAAGTCCCTAGCAACAACCATTGGAGTTGCTCTAACAAGACCCCACTTGATATATTTTTTCCGTATAGATTATCGTATATTTAAGGTTAAAGTTTGGTCAAATATGACATTCAGACCAAACCACACCATATCAAATCAAGTCAGACCAGATCAGATAAGTTCAGATAAGCAAAAATAAGGTGAACCAAACAATCCCTAAGTCATAAGACAACAAGTTGATACTCCCATAATACCTAGTACCTCTGTTTTTTATTAGTTGACACGTTTTGAATTTAACACTATTCACCCACTCTCCTTCAATCGCGTTTTGTGCTTTATATTTAATGAAAAATATAGTCATGTGGGATCGTGTTAGATTTGTCACGATATGTATTTTCAAAATATCAGCTTTTTATAATTTTTGTTTGTCGGTAATTAAAGATATTAATGGTTGAATTTGTGCATTGATAAACGTGACTAAAGAAACATGTCAATTAAAAAGAAACGAAGGAAGTATATAGTTTACAACGCTAGATACAATCTTTATAAAATCGTCCCTGTATCTATCTTTAGTCATGAAACAAATGTGTGATAAAATGGCTCTGAAAAATTTATACTATCTCCGTTAAAGGTTATGTGTAACTTTAGAATATTTTATATTTCACAAATAATACACAAAAATTGAAGGTAGGTATTTGTATAATTGGTTGGATTTAAGCCATAAAAAAAAGTAGGGGTAATCACTTAAAAGTTGTAGATGAAAGTGGTTTATATCCTCTTAACACAAAGCCCAATGGACTATCTAGTAATTTATCCATAATCCTTATGGAACAATGAAGCTCCGACCCTAGTTGGGTTGGCTAATTGCTAATAGTGAACAAACAAATCACTCCCAGGTCGAGAGAGAAATCGAAATCGAAATCGAAATCAAACCAAAATCAAGATCAAATGGCAGGAAGACTAAGCAAAGTAGGCTCAGCAATACTGGGTGGAAATGGTGTGGTTTCCCGTTCCGTTGCCAACTCCCTCCGTCAACGTTCCGGTATGGGACTCCCCGTCGGCAAGCACATCGTCCCCGACAAGCCGGTTTCTCTCTCCTCTCCTCTCTCTCTCTCTCTTCTTTTTTTTAATTATTTATCAATCGGAATCGGAATTAATTTCATTTGTATATTTCTGGCAATAAATAAATAGCTTCCGGTGAACGATGAGCTGGTGTGGGATAACGGTACTCCATTCCCTGAACCTTGCATAGATCGCATCGCCGACACTGTTGGAAAGGTATCCTTCCATTTTCCCTTTTTTTTTTTTAATAGTTGATTTTCCAATTTTAATTATGAAAATGTTCAGTACGAAGCATTGGCTTGGTTATGCGGTGGATTAGGGTTCTTCGCTACTCTCGGATTGGCCGCTGTCTGGAATGATAAAGCTTCTAAATATCCCTTTGTAAGTCTTGCCTTTTTTTTTTTTTTTTTTAATTTTTTTTTAATTTTTTATTTAGGGCTTTATTCGATGATTTGATTTTAATTTGGTTTGCTCAGACATTTGATATTTACATACATGTATGCACCATTTTCCTAATTTGGATAGAATAATACCTGTTTCTTAGGTGTCATGGTTAAGTTTCGACCATTGTTGTAGTTTGGGTCATAGTTTATTCACTTAAATTGGCGGCATTATCTTTCTGAATTGAGTAGCCTGATCTTCTGTTGTGATAGAGACAAACTGTTTTAATTGCTAGGGTAATAGCATGTGGCATTGCAGTAGATACATTGTGTGAATTGTGAGGAACTAGGTTGAGAGAATAGTAACCTAAAGTTTTAGAGAGATCATAGCCTAAGGCTTTGCCATTAACGATCAAACACTCAAGTTTTAATCTTTGTTCATCTGTCTAATTAATTCTGGAATACAAACCCTGAAACCTAGTCTATTACAGCTTACACCCCTTAGGATTGAGACATGGTTATATCATGGCCAGGATTAGTACTACTGTGGCCAAGATCAACAGAAGTGCTAGTTTGAGTCTTTGAGGGTCAATTGTAGAAGCCTTAAATCACCCAGGGGTGCAAAATAAAAGATTGATTACATTGTATTAAGGCCTTCCTTGCTCTTCTAGCAAAACATCCGATGCATATTGATGCTTCCTCCTTTGAATATGAGACTGGTACCTAGGATGGAATCAAGTTTTCCCTGCAATTTAAAAATCAGAGTTTGATGCCTTGAGTTATCTCAGGAAGGCTCACAAATTTCTTGAAAGGCTACAAGACAGACAGTATACAAGGTGCCCAGCTGTTAATCCAGTTTAGAGCTTTGGTAATTCACGGATTTCTATAAGTTCTGTACAAACGGGGTTATGTGCAAAACTCATGTAGGTTATACCTTGAATCTATGGACCCTTGCAATCTCTACTGACTGCTTCTAGACAAGGGTTGGGAGGGGGATATAAAAGAGGCAACAGTATTTAATCTTGAACTGAACGAAGGAGGATTCTGTGGTGAAGGGTATTGCTTTACTTCTGCAGTTGGTTCCTTTTGGCAGAAGATCATTTCATATCAGCTCAGGAGCAATGGTTTAAATATGAGGATAAAGGAATGTTTATAACTTTATATTGATAATGGTAAAAAATTTCTCCTGTTCCAAATAAGCCAAAGGCCAAATGCAAACAAAACATTTAAAGGATGCACCTAATTTAGGTCATTTTCATTCTTGCAATAGTATTTTTCCTATATAACTTGCTGATAACAAGATGTTAGGCATAAATTTCATGTTCAATAATTCTTTCCAATCTTGAAATGAATGCTCCACTGCCTATAGTCTTCAGGGTTCTAATTCTGACCTCGCCAAGTACCTAATCAAAAGCAAAACACTAATAATACTGTAACATCACTAAAAAAAATTCATGCTGATCTGTAAAACTGTGTTCCATCTGTATAAGGCTATAAGCTGCTAGCTCAGGGTCCTAGTCGCCTCTTTATTTGGGTAGGAGCACTGATACATGTAGTCTGATAACTCTGATTCCTTCTAGACTTTGGAAATATATTGACATGATAAACAACTGTGTTCATCTCTACTAGCTCTAGGTCTTAAAAATCTCAAATTTGGGTGGGAGCACTGTTACATACTTACATGTAGTGTATTTTCTCCTAGAGTTCTGGACAATGGCTTTTAAGGATCTGTTTTTTTGGTTTTATTTCCCTATTAAGGTTCAGCTTAGCTCAGCTCAGCTCAAAAGAACAAGGCATCAGCTCAGCTCAAAAGAACAAGGCCTAACCTCGTAGTATGACTTTTAAGCCATCGTGAAACTGCAGGGTGTTTTTTCACTGCCATATGTTAGGTTAACAGGCAGCATGAGTGTACTTATTCTACTATTCTTGGTTTTCCGGTTGTTTTTCTGTTTACTTTTGCTTGTGTGCTGGTTTCAACAACTTGATAGTGGCACACTGATGGTCTCTTTTTCTACTAGTGTTGCTCATCTATTGTCACACCCACCTGCTGGGTTGCTCAAGTGCTTGAGTTTGTAATTTAGATTCCCCTTTTACGTTATTCTAGGTGAATTACCTTTTCTTAGTGAAGGTAAAGGTTGTTTTCAGACCTTATTGATTTATAGGAGATGAAGGTATCACCTGAATTCCAATGTGCTAACTATACATGCTTAATGCTTTTTCAAAAATTTCATTTGAAAGAAATAGCTCAGTTTGAGGGTGATCTATATTTGTTAAATGCATCTGTTTCAAACATTAGGCTAATTTCTACTGTTTGAAAATTTTCCATTTCTAGCTACTTGCTCACTGTTAATGGTTTTGTGATGACCAGACTCCAAAGGTTTATCCATATGACAACTTGAGGGTAGAGCTCGGTGAAGAACCATAGATGCATCAACTCCAACAATTGTATCGCAAATGTTGTTCAGCTAAATGACCTTCATTTTACATTTTATTTCCATCTGTAGCTCTGGGATGATTTAAAATAAAGGTCTGACTTGTTTTTGTTTTAAAGATTGATATGGATATGCTTGGCAACTTTTCTGTTAATGTCATAATTTGATGCTACTTAGATTTTTTGAATGGTATATGTAATACTCATAAGTTCCTATGTCTTAGGGACAGCTTGTCCTAACAACCAAACAAATCCACTTTCCATGTTATTGCAGTGGACAATTATTTGCATATTGCTGATGAGAATTCAGAGTATATATTTGTGGAACTATACAGCATTTAAGTTATATGAATGACTGAATGTCTGTTATGGTGAAAAGCTTGTGTAGGACATTGGGTGTATTACCCTATATGTGCCATCACTGCCATTTTCATCAAATTTCCAGATGAAGACCCATGAACATGAGGATAAGGTAAACATACATAACCGGCCTAATGTCAGAGCATTAGGGGAGAGGAACAAGGACCTGATCATAGGTCTAATACTCTTATGGTTGGAAAAGCAGGGTTAGAGGCAAACTACTCCATACGTTTGAAGCTTAATTTGCTTCAAGTACTACTTAAAGTGGTAGTTAGGAGAATTCTCACTGAGAGGATATTACATTACTAGCGCTAGTGGCGTAGAAATGGGCCCTATTTCTGGACCAAAATTTCAAATACGTCATCGCTGATAAGTTGGACCTGTATTCATTCCAAATGAAGAAAACTTGGACTCACTCGTGAAGTAGGCCGGGTGTGAGTGCAGCAACCAGCAGAACACGGTGTGTGTGTGATGTGCAGCTGCACTGTTGTAGCAAGCAGGAATTGGATATTTTTGGACAAAGCTAATCTGATATATAGATTATTTAGCCCTTAACCTTGGAGGTAATTTGATCTTTTCAATACCAAAGTGTATAAATACTCTACCGCAAATTTTATTACTTCCTTCATTTTTAAATATTTGCTCCACTTTCCTTTTTCGGCCGTTTTTAAATACTTTCTTTATTTTCCTATTTGGAAAACTTTTACAATATTTAATTAATTTCTCTTAGTTAGTGGACCCAACATATATTCTCTCTCATCCAATTCTCTCCACTACTTTTGTCTTTTACAATTTTCTATTTTTCCACTAACTCTACTACCTTCATATTTTATTACTTTATCCAATTTCTCCTAAAACTCCGCGCATAGAGAAATGGAGCAAATATTTAAAAACGTAGGGAGTAAAAGGGAAGAACAATTACTTTATCCATTTCATTCCTAAATAATACTACGTATACCAGATGGTATAATACTATAATGCAGTGACGGATGCATCAAATTTTAATATTTCAAAAGTAACAAAATTTATAGAGCACGTTTTCCATTATTCTCAATGAAACCTTAAGTTAATCATTCCCTTCTTGTCCCACCGCCGCAATCAGTTAGTGCTTATAGTTTGGTAAATTTCAACTCTAGACAGTCTCACAGTTTGTTTGGATAAAGGGGGGGAGGAGAAGAGGAGGGGAGGGAAGAATGGTGAGTTTTTCTTCCAAATCTCTCCATTGATGGAGGGATTAATTTTCATTCCATTTCTCTCCCCTTCAATTTCCTCCCTTCTTTATTTGCCATCCAAATGAAAGATACCTCATTTCTTCATTTCTCTTTCCTTTCATTTTCTTTAATCCAAACACACCGTCAATGTTTTTTAGGTGCGTGTCATTGGGTTTTATACACGTAGAATTTGTAATTATTTGAATAACAACACTTATATTAATGTATATTATTGAATTTTAGCAAAAGCAAAAAAATATTTTAATGAGTTTTTTTGCCACGAGTACGAGTAATTTGTCTCTAGTTCGTGTCATATTTTGTATTATCATTGTTAACAAAGCAACAACAATACGAGTAACTTATACGAAGTAAAGCATAAGCTGCCTCCTTTTATCTCTTCTCTCTCCTCTCGGTTTTAGTTTTCTTAGATATTTCTGACCATTTCTCTTTAATTTCATTAATTTGCTTTTGTTTTGTTTTCTCTGTTTGTGAGAATCTGTCTTAATTTTTTTTGGGGGTTTTTCCCCCATATTTTAGGGATTTTTATTATCATTTTCCTTTTGTTTTTACGGTTATGATAATAATTGCGAAAATAATTTGGATTCATATGGGTTTAGGATTTATCATCAACACTACGATAAAAACAATAGTGTAGATTACGAAAGGTCTTTATTTGAAAAGATGCAAAGACATCGAAAATCACTGCTTACGTCAAGATTGAAGCGGTGGAGAGTGAGTTGTGCCAAATATGCAAATTAGTTATGATTTTGTTAAAAAAAGTTATGTTAATTTTTCTAAATTTGTGGTTTACAAATCTTTATTATAAATTATTATAGATGCCGTAGGACTATTTATTAATGTTATTATTTTTCCTGTAAAAAAAAAAAGTACTAGTAACTTGCACATTAAATATTTTACAACAAGACCAAACCAAACAAGTGAAACAACACCACTTAGACTTAACAACTACTTCTAAATTATTGTGAGAATACTCTTTAAGTCTTTAGTAAATTATAATAGGTAAAATAAGGGTCCTAAGATTTTAAGAACATTGATTGAAAGTTAATTCCTCCTCCGTCATAATCTACATCCACTCCATCATTTTACTTTCATCCATTAATTTTATTATTCGCTTTCGATAAAATAGATTCTATAGCCGCAACATGGCCGAAAATTTGTAAAAATTCAAAGTCAAACTCCATCCATCTTTACAAATTGAATGTGTATGACGTTACATGTATCTTGGATTGTGTGCCCTTAACATTGAAAAATTAGTACATATGATGTGTTAATTCTTTATTTTAATTCATATTATGAAATTATAATTATAATTAATAATTCCACCATGAAGCATTAGAGCCTATAAATACCCTCCCATCTCTACTTAGAAATATATCTTCACAACAAGTAAAATCCTTGTATCCTTCCTTACTCTTAACTATCATCCCTAAACCCATCCTTTTATCTAAAAATGGCTTCAAAGAGCACCAATATGACCATCATTTTCTTCCTCTCTCTTAATCTCCTCTTTTTCTCCTTGGTTTCCGCGACAAACCCTCATTCCAAATGCCCTATTGATACCCTTAAACTAAAGGTATGTGCCAATGTGCTCAATGGTTTGCTCGGGGTAATTATTGGAACCCCTCCTAAGCAGCCATGTTGTAGCCTTATTCAAGGCCTTGTTGATCTCGACGCTGCGGTTTGCCTTTGCACTGCCCTTAGAGCTAACGTCTTAGGCATCAACCTCAACGTTCCTCTTTCTCTAAGCTTGCTTCTCAATGCTTGTGGCTGCAACTACCCCGCTGGTTTCACTTGTCCATGAAACTGCTTGTCATTTGCAACCTTATCATCATGCCAAGACCATTTGAATGCGTAATATCCTACTAAGAAAAAATATTTACGTAGTACTATATGTTTCTACGTACTACTATATATGTGTTTGTTTCATATATAAGCAATTATGAAGGTGTGTAATAAATCTTCCTTTTGGAGAACGGTTATCAATTGTCATTTTATAATCGATGTTCATATAGATTTATACTTGTAAGTTGTAACATATACTATCATATTGTGATGTTCTTTGATTAGCTATATATATACTATATTGCATAATGCACAATATATATACTATATTGCATAATGCACAAGCTTCAATCTATGAGGTCTTGATCTGATTGGTCTAATGTTTTTTTAACTATAACAATTATATCAACAAGGGTTTGTTACTACTCCCTTTCTTTCTTAATTTTGTCTCACCTGCCTTTTTTTAGCAACAATATATTGAAATATATATATGTAATTTAAGTATTCATTCATGTTTTTGAAACAACTCATCAAGCTAGACAAACCAAACCAATTTCAAATTGCTACAAGTATGTGATTTTGTTTTTATATACTACCTCACTAACATATTAATTGTACGGACGAAGGTAGTATATGTATGTATCAATTAATACTTATCATACCTAGTCAAAGAATTTCTATCTTAAAAAAAAACAATCTAATTAATTAAATGAGATCAACAAATATTAACGAATAATGAAGGGAGTATAATTAGATCTAGTTCAATCAACAACTCAATCAAGTAATTACTTATTAATTTTAGGAGACAATAATTGCAATGTTTATAAGCTATTATATTATATTGATTAATTTAAGAAGAGAGTGAGGGATTGCTCGGTTGGTTAAAACTTTCCTTCCAATTTCGTGAGATTATGAGATCGATTCACGTGACCTGTCCCTGTGGCTCTCTAAACACAAAAACATAAAATAAAATTATAGAGGTTAAGAAAACGTAGGAAAGTATTCTGTAGTGATCACTAATAAGTTGCATGCATGCCACGCAGTTACCCAAGAAAGCCGGCTAAGGTATGGCCGTTGGCCTTTATGAAGGAGCTGTAGTATGGTACAAAGTGCAGTATTGAGTAGTTAATACTAAGCATACGAAAGCAATCGTGCTTTAGAGTTGCATACATAGGCCAATCATAAGGAACTTTATTACTTCACGAGAAATTTCAATACATACTGTTTCGGTTGAAAACAATGGGACCTTGCCGAAGGTCCACTGAAATGGAGAAGACTGGATTCGATCCAAGTTGTGTTGGGCCGAAGGTTTCCTGCACAGTGAACACACGTAAACTAGCCTCGGGGGTGTTTCCGAGGAAGGCCCCTCCGATGCTAAAGTCAGTACAATGTGTAGAAGGAAGACACTATGCAAGAGAGTTTGTAGCTTGAGGCTTTTGTGGAATATTTCTGAATGCAAGAATGAGCATATGAATTGGAATGTCAATGATCATATGTGATGTCCCTTTGAATGTGTTAATATGATGGCTTTTATACCTCATCATACTTGGAGAGGTTGGGCTTTAGCCCAATTGGCTTACTTTGTGGGCTGACTTTTGACTTTTGAGCAATTGGAGAGTTGAACCTTGACCTTGGGCTTTTAATTGGATCATTTAGTGCTCAGGCCCAACTTTGACTAAATTGGACCCAAACAACTTGCCCCCCAGACCCGATTTGGAAGAATGACGGGTCGGGTTTGATTTAACTCAGAAAAGGAGGGAAGTAAATGATTTAATTGATCCAAAAATTTGAATTTAAACCGTAATTAATGAGATAACAACGGTTAATGATTTGCGGAAGTTGGACGGATAATGGGCAGTTTAATCACAAGACATGTGTTTAATGGTTACTTAGTGGGTACTTAAGAGAAATTAAAGCACAGACTCTTCGTATCCCGTACCTGGAGATATAAACAGAGGCGCGTCATTCTCCTCACTTATTCACCAACACAAACCCAGAATTCTTCGAGAGAGAAACCAAGAACCCGCATCAAAACTTCGCAAATTCCCCCGAGCATTGAGCTTAGAAACTGAGACTTGCCACTACGAACTCGTAGATCGGCAACTTTCGCTTCAGATTAAGGTAAATTCCTTTGATTTCAGTTTATTTTTCTTCGAATTCGAACTCCTTCCCCTTTTCTTTCGACTTTTCTCTTCGAAATAATCCATGGCAAGAGGAGTTAGAGGTAGAGCCCGTGCTCCAAGAAGAGCAAGGCCGATTCCCGATCCTAGGAATAGGATTGGGACCTGGAATGGTCAAAGGCCGGAGTCTGACCCTGCTGAAGGGATTAGGGCGACTCCCCTTTCCTCGGCTCCTCCTCAAAGAACGGATGAGCCGAGTGCTTCTGGACGGGACGATGAAATTCCCGCTGTCCTTTGGGATATCCTCCCTGGGTTTTCAGAGTGGGAGAATGCCGAAGTCGCTTCGGCCATGATAAAGAACCGCCCCTACTCATGGTGGGTAGAGAACGCCGATCAATATCGATTTGCTGAGCAAATTGAGTTGCACTACGGCATTTTTGAAGCTGATGGATATTGGTGCCGAATGCCCTCAGCATCCGATAGAATCCATCGTCCACCCCCGGGGTATGTGGGGGTGTACACGAGACAGCTTCAGTATGGGCTGAGGTTCCCTTTGGACGTTTTCGTCCGAGACTTGCTGATCCATTACAACATTTCCCTATGTCAGCTAACCCCCACCAGCATCCGAAGGGTGATGACATACTTATGGGTCTGCAAGTTCTTCAAATACGTGCCGAACCTGCACTGCTTCAGAAAGCTCCATCGGCTAGTGCCAAATATTCAGAGTGGGCACGGAAGCCATGGTTCTGGGTGGTATCGGATTGAGTCCCGGCCCCAATACTTGACCATGTGGCCAAATGACTCTTCAGACAAGGACTGGAGAGGTCAATGGATTTGGGTTAGGGCACCCATAGATCCGGGCCACCCTTGCGTCTTCAGCGCTCCCCGGTACTTAGCTGAGCCTGATCCCGAAATGGGAAGTCTAGGTCCCCCGCAGATAACGGGGCGGATCCGAACCTGGATCAGCAACATATCTTCGGCAAGCTGCCGAACCCGGGGGGGAGTGGTCGAATGCAGCATATCCCGGAGACTTGGCTCCCCGATACGCATTACGTTTTCCAAGAGAATATGCTAGCAGCTGTTGGCCTCAGCCGAAAGTTTAAGGATGGTAAGCTTCTTCGGCTGGGGCCGAGGCTTTTAACTACCTCTTTTTCTTCTCTCGCTTTGCTTTTTTATGCTGTGCCAACATATCTGAGCTAAACTTTTTCCCTTTCCCTTTTTTCAGAGCGGGACGAGACCAACGTTGGTATTAACTACGCTCGTCTTGGTGTTAACCGAGAGCGAGTTGTAACTGAACGGGCCCCGTCTATCACTGAGCCGAGGCATAGGGAAGTTCATCTGGATTCTTCCCACTTCCAAATTGAGGCTGTTGCTCTGTATCAGAGGCAGAAGCCTTGGTGGAAGAAGAGAGACCCTTGGTTTCAGCTGCTGAACGAAGAAGCTGAAGCTGCCCGCACAGCCGAAGAGGTTGCACGGGTACTTGAGGCTTGCGAAGGAGGAGAAGGGTCCTCCAGAGCTGCTGAGGCCGAAGCTGCAGCTAGAGCAGCTGAAGAAGACGAGGCTTTGCTGAAAACCTCGGTGAGCTTCAGACAACTTTTTTCTTTTCATTTTCATTTTCATTTTTTTTTTTTTTTTTTTTTTTTTTTTTTATTCACTCTTCTTCCCCCCTGTCTGTTACAGTCTGAAGAGAGTAACAGACACAGAGAAGGCAAAGCTCCTGTTCGTCCCGAAGATCAAATACAAGAGTCTTCAGACTCAGATATGGACGAGCAGCCCCTTCTGAAAAGGCGCCGAAGGATGGCCATCATCGGCCCTCATGATTTTCAGCAGAGGCCGATGACCATCGGCGTCGCAATAAGGGAACCTGAGGAAGGCAATGGATCGCCGAGGGTTCCCCAGCCAACACCCCAATCTCCTCAAAAGACCCCTCCGCCACCTCCTGAGATGGAGGTGGATCAGAGAACTCCCGAACCTAAGGGAGGGGTCCAAGAAGAAATCAAGAAGAGTGCTGCTGAGCACGAAAATAAAGATGCCGTGATGTCCAGTGCTGAGGGCTTCACGGCAGATATCGCCAGAGAGGTTGAGGCTTTCGTCCTCACCCCTGAAGAAGAGGAGGTCATAGTACTTGACTCCTCTGAGAAGGATGATGCTGAGACAACCAAAGCTAATCAAGCTCCATCGTCGTCCTTCCCTTCTTTCCAGACTCTGCATTCTGGAGAAATGGGTTTCTCGGCCCCCCGAATTCCAATCCCAGATCACATCTGGGACCTCATATGGGGTCAAAACCGAGAAGGAGCTGAAGCCTACTTCGGCAGTTTTGCTGGCATGTCCGAAGTAGACAGGGCAAGGATCTGGTCGCTGAAGGCCACTGCTGGGATGGGCGAATCCAGTAGATAAGTTCCTGACCCAGCCAGGTCTAACCAACTGCTGATGATGCAGGTAATTTTCCTTCATTTCCTCCGAAATTCAGCTCTATTTTTTTCTTATTACTTATTTTTTTTTTTGTCTTCCTGTTTTCAGTTCGTGCACAATCAGACTCTCACTGTAGAGCTGATTGATACCCTACAAGATAGGGTAGACGCTGCTGTGCACGAAAGGAAGGTGGCTGAAGAGGAAGTTAAGCTTGCTAAGCTGAAGCAAGCAGCAGCTGAAGAGAAGCAGCAGGAGGTTGAGGAGTACGGTAAAAAAGCTGCCGAAGCTCTGAAAACCTTCTGCGATGCTATGGAGATGGAGGTTTTTCCCCCACTGATGGAAGGGGAAAAATTCCTCCAGGAGCATATGGGAGTGGACGTCTCCAAATTCAAGGCTGCTATTGAGAGCCGAATTCAAGAAGGAACTGCTGCACAAGCTGAAGTACAGCAGCGTCTAGAGGCTCTTGAAGCCAGCCGAATGGCTGCTGAAGAGTTGCTCCTGGCCAAAGACGTCCAACTCTCAGAGGCTGCTGCTGCTGCTGGAGCTCAAAGAGCTAAGTTCCAAAAGGCTGAGGATCAACTGCTGATCCAGAAAGTTGAAGTGGCCCAGGCTCAGACAAAGGCTTCCCAAATTCAGCAAGAGCTGAATGAGCTGAAAGGCTCCTCCTCCCAAGTCGCTGATGAGCTGAAGAAATCCAAGGAAGACTTGGAGGAGACCCAGAAGAAGCTGGCTGATGCTGAGGCTTTACTCAAAGTCCGTGTCTATACCCAAGAGGAATATGAGATGGGTTTCAGAAACGGATTCCGAGTATGCCGAAGAGT